TGAATTGAGAAAACCTAATCACGAATCTGCGATTGAGGTCTATAAAAATAACAAGTTTCCACCGTTCAAGTTTGAACCCCTTGATTGGGTGAAAGTATTGAAAAAGAATATTCTCAGATATAATTATGAACATGAAAAAATGGATATGTATTTGAAGAAATACATTGAGAATTCGTATTCTTTATGTGATGAAAATATCGATACATTCTCGTTTTTTTTTTTGTTTTTTTTTTATAAAATTATCCGCATCAAACTCGAGGGTTATTAGCGGGGTACAGTACAAATTATCAATTTCATTTTATGAATACATCGGGCTATAATAGATTATACATTTTGTTTCCCTAGTGTCAGTATGTATCACAATCCCTTTACTATAAATATTTGGTTAAGTTCACTCTCTCTAGGAATTTTATAACTCGGTCTGGTTGTTTGTTCAGCATTTGTTACTACAAATATATAGATAGAATCGAAAGAGTCCAAAGAAAATTTTTAAATGTTCTTAACTACAGATATAACAGAGATCTTCAATTTTTGCCGTACGAACGTAGACTAAATCACTACAAAATGTGCAAACTAACCTCTAGGAGACTGGTTGCAGGTATGATATTTCTGTACAAGCTATTCAACAATAAAATTGATAGTACCGAAATATTGGGAAAAATAGATATACGAGTCAAATCCGTTTCTTCTCGATCCTGTTACTTGTTTTATGCACCCTATTTCACTACGAACTATGGAAATAACTCACCCATCAGCAAACTACAGAGAAATTATAACACTTTTTTCAGTCAGATTGACATTTTCAGTATCACCTTGCGTAGCTTGAAAGTTATATCATACTCTATACTGGGTCAGCAGCAGTGACAGTGAATTAAATATTTCCAAACTATAGAATGTAAATTCTTTAAAATTAAAATACTTATCTATAGCATAACATGAAAATATACTACTATTAAGGCATTTTCTTTTTTAGCAAATCAGGTTTTTTTTTCTTTTTGTTTTAGTTGTATTTTGCTCTCATGCTATTACTTTTATAGTACGACTGATTTATTGTATGTGCCATTATTTTCCTTCGAGCGACCCTGTTATTGGCATTAAATTGTTTGTTGGGTCGCCAAATTGTTAAATAAATAAATAAATAAATAAATAAATTTCTGCAAGATTTCTGGACATATTGCACTGGTTCCTTTGGTATTCGAGTGTAGGGCATTCCGATAATATATGTCGTACGGTTTGTGTGACGTTACAATTTTCACATTGGACTGGAGGTTCTCTCTTCATTAGATGCTGGTGTGTTAGACGAGTGTGTCCTATTTTGAGTCGTGTGAGAAGAATTTGGTTCTTGCGGTTTGTACCACTGTAGAGGTTGTTTTCTAAGGTGGGATTGATTTCGTACAGTTTGTTGTGACTGTGTAGGCGCCATCTATCCTTCCATTTATCTTTAGTTATTCGTTTTATTTCGTTATATAGATCTCCAAAATATCTCTTCTTTGTTCCAGTGGATATGGCATCGTGAAAAAATTGTCGAAATTTTGCGCACTTATGTCACTGGAATGTTGGCCAAATGTCAATTCACTTATTCATCATCTCATTCTATTTCAACCATAGCTATAACTTGGACCAAATATTAATATTTAATTTTGCTGATATTTCGTCAAGCCCTCGATAGAATATATAAAAAGTATATATCTTCGAAATCAGGAAAGATAGCTCTTTCGAAATATGCGATAATATACAGGGGGTTCCATTTGAAAAAAAAAATTTTTTTCACGAACCCTGTATATGAAATGATAAAATCAAGCAGAGAACACATTTTCTAGAAGGAAATGACATCTCATTCAAGTACCTTTCTCCAAATTTCAAATATCTTTTTTCGTTTTCGAGATATCAGCTGTTGAAGTCGAGAAATCCATAGTCAATCACCCTGTACAAGCTCTCTACTGGGCTCGTGCGGTATGCTCCAAGGGCGATTCGTATAGCGGTGTTATGAATACTGTCCAGTTGTTTGAGTACTGATTTGCTTGCGGTGCTGTATATTATTGACCCATAGTCAATTTTCGATCTGATTGTGGAACGATAAATACGCATCAAGGTAGTACTATCAGCACCCCAGGAGTGATTTGATAAAGTTTTCATGAGGTTCAGTCCATTCTGGCATTTACGTTTCACGTTTCTAATGTGTGCATTCCAAGATAATTTTTTATCAAAAATCATTCCCAAAAATGATTTCGTCTACGAATTCTAGTTGTTGGCCATCAATCTGGATAATGGGTATCATGTTCTCTGTTTTTTTGGAAAATAAAACACCTTTAGTTTTGCTTGTAGAAAAATGTAGTCCTGTATTTTGAGACCATGTCTCTAATTTATTTATGGCATTCTGTAGGAGTTTAGCAGACGAATGGACGTTTTTTCCGCTAGTGTAGATGACCAAGTCGTCCGCATATAGATTGGCTTTTATTGGAGCTTTGATATCCTTCAGTATATCGTTCATCGCTATCAGGAACAGCGTGGTGCTAAGACATGATCCTTGAGGAGTACCATTCGTTTGTGGTCTCATTCCAGATAGTTCGCCATTAGTTCGCACTTTGAAAGATCTATTGTTCAGAAAACTCTTGATAAATGTTAGTATCTTACCATTTATATTCCAGCTTTTCAGTCGTTTGAGTATATCGTGTTTCCAGACGGTGTCATATGCCCTATTGATGTCGAAAAACACTGCTAAAAGTTTTTGTCTATTTGCGAACGCTTCATGAATATCTGATTCAAGATTCACAAGATTGTCTACTGTGCTGCGGTTTCTTCGGAAACCGCTTTGTTGAGGAATAATCAGGTTGTTCTGTTCCAGGTGATGGGTAAGTCTAGCGTTCACTGTTTTCTCTAAGATCTTACACATAGTACAAGTGAGGGAAATCGGTCTATATGAGTGTGGGTCCAATTTGCTCTTATTATTCTCCAGTATGGGCACTATTATAGCTGTAGACCATGTAGAGGGGAACTTCTTTTCTTCGTATGTTTGGTTGAGGATCTTGAGCAAGACACGTTTGCCTATTGCTGGTAACTTCTGTAGGAATATATAAGGGATTGTGTCTGGGCCAGGACAGGAGGATTTGAATTTTGATAATGCGTCTTGTAACTCAGTCATTGTGATAGGGAAATTCAGTGGATTTTCGATATCTTCCAATATTTCAAATTCTTCTTGTTCGGCAACTTTCGTTCTTAAGAATTCATCGCTATAATTTGTGTCACTAGAGAGGTTTTCGAACACATCAGCAAAGATGTTTGCGATTTCTTGATTGTCCGTAACTATTGTGTCGTCGTCGAGTTTTAGAGATTTAATAATGTGACTCGAATTGCATCCTCTGATTTTCTTGACTTTGCTCCATATCTCAGACATGGGTGTAGATTGGTTTATGGTTGACACATAGTTTTCCCATGAGGTTTTCTTTGTTTGAGTGTGTATCTCATTCGGGCTCTAACTTGTTTATAGTTGATTAAGTTCTCTGTTGTATGGTGTCTTTTCAATTTGTTGAATGCAATTTTCGTGAGTTTGGTTGTTTCCTGGCACTCTTTGTTCCACCATGGTACTGGGGTGCGTCCTTTAAGGGTGTTTGTTTTACCTATGGATTCAGTTGTCGCTTGGATAATAGTTTTCGTGAAATTGTCCACTAAGCTATCAATATCTTCATCTTGTCTGTTCGGTTCACTTATGTTTGATTCAATTATTTCGCTGAATTTGTTCCAGTCTTCGGTAGTAGCGTTGTGCACTCTCCATTTTTGGGGGATGGATGTTGATGTTCTTTTATAAAAATCTGTCTCGATAATGATGGGAAAGTGATCACTGTCATAAGTGTAAGGTAGTACCTCCCATGTTAGTGTGGGATGAAGTACTGGATCACACAGGGTCAAGTCTATTGCCGAATGATTACTGTTAGTAGGGTTGAATCTAGTGATTTTTCCTGTATTGAGCATCGTCAGATTAGAGAGGTTGATGAAATTCTCAAGGATGCTACCTCTGGAATTGGTAGTAGTGCAGCCCCAACTAGTGCTATGGCAATTGAAATCACCCAGTATGATGAAAGGTTTTGGAATTTGACTTGCTAGATTATCTAGAGCTGCTAAAGAAATGTGTGTATTTTCTGGTATATAAATATTACATACACTAATCTTCTTCCAAAGCGTGATTGATACAGCTACGGCTTCGAAATTTGTGTTTAGTGGGATTTCTTCCATCTCGGTTTGTTCAACAGAAAACAACTACTTTCCTGGCTATATGCCACGACGAACATTGAATATACACGATAAGAATTTGAAAACAAAATCTTCTGAAGTAGAGAATTTGCATACTCCTTCATATAAAGATCTGCACATAATATCATTCTGAATATTCAATAGAAAACAACTACTTTCCTGGCTGTTTGCCTAGTCGAACATTGAATTATATCTGTTGAACATCCTAAAAGAGAGCATGAATAATGAAAATCCTGTGAAATTGAGAATTGACATCTTGACAAATCGGATAAATAATATGATGTATTATGGTATAAAAATATATTCAGAATTGAGAAGCACAACTCTGCTTGCGAGAAAAACACTCGCAATTTTGAAAGAAAGTTACAATTTTCGGATTTTTTCATCCTGCAGGCCCCTCCCGTGTGCAAATCGATGTTGCTTGACCGTGAACGGCCCGGAATTGATACGCAGGTGGTTAGGCTGTACCCAATCTCAATTAAAGCACGATTCTGCTTGTAAGAAAAGAAACACTCGCAATTTCGGGTAGATAACAATAAAATAATAAATAAATGTACAAATTTCGGATTTATAATCTTGCGGTATCCTCTCGTGTGCAAATTGAGGTTGTCCGACGGTCAACGGCCCGGATAACGCAGGTGGTTAGGCGGTATCTAACCTCAAATAAAGCACAATTCTGCTTGCATGAAAAGAAACACTCGCAATTTCAGGGTGAAGAGAAAGTTACAAATTTCGGATGTTTAATCTTGCAGGCTCCTCTAGTGTGCAAATCGACGTTGTCTGACGGCGATTCGAAGTACCTGGCCCTGGAGGTGCTCGAGGGGATCTACCAGCCGTCCTGCGATATCTTCGGGCTGGGCATCAGCCTGCTGGAGTTGGCCGCCGATCTGGAGCTGCCCAGCCACGGGCCGCTGTGGCAGCAGCTGCGCCACGAGATTCTACCTCAGCGGTTCTACGACAGTAAGTTCTGTTTTCCGATCGATTGTTTCATACCAATGACTGATATAGCATTGATTTGATAGACAATAGGATTTCCGTAAAAAAGCGATTTGAGAAGTTTATCCTTCCATCCGGAACACTAATACCAGGTACAGCAATAATCTGATAATAAACCAACATAAAACATCTTTGTACCATAGACCATTTTCTTATAATGATCACAAGATCATACAAGAATCACTTACTAGGCATATGGCACACTTTACCATTCCCTTTCGAGATAATTTCTCATATGTTATTCCTTTCAAGTTTTGTTTCCTTGTTAAATTAAATAAGATCCTTACTATTCTACACTTGTTTGAAAATTTCATGAATGTATTTTGTGATTGTTTTTATAATGTCATGAATTTCATTAATGTATTTTATTGTTTTATGTGTCATGGTACGCGGTAGAGTAGAGCAGCTTTAAGCTGGACTTCGCCGAGGATAATTAAAATAAAGACCTCTATGATTATTATTATTATTATTAATCATAATTGTAGAATGAGTTATGAGTATTTATTCATTCAGTATCCTAGGTACATATTTAACATTCTCACATTCATTGTAATTGTTTGTATTATTACCTAACTATACTAAATTCTATCGGCACAATGGATTTTGAAATCTGTATGTGCTGATTATTAATTAACCTTATTAATTGAAACTATTGATACTTGGGTGGGTACTTTTAGTTATACACCATAATTAAAAATAGGCACTCAATAATACTTGCAAACAATGTATAAATAGTAATTTCTACATAAACAAGACTTATTGAGAGTTGCTTATAAAACAAATAAAACATGAAGGTTTATCATTGGTAATATAGACAATACTTGTATAAATTCGAAAATACAGAAGTATACAAATTGAAATGTGGATCTTCTCCTTTGGAATACATTGGCCAGATAGGTAGAACGATTGAACACCGCATTCACGAACATCGAGTTTTTCAAAGAAGAAATCGAATTCACCATACGCTAACCATATATGGTGTTTCACAACTTGTTCCACAAATTGCAATCACATATACAGAGTGGCCCATTGCAAACGAAACAGAGGCTCTGTAGGTCGCCAGAACCGGATTATGAAAAAACACTGGAACACGTCAACTACATTTTCGAGGGGGACATCGTTCTAAAATATTTTCAGCGCTGAGGCATTGCCGCTTTTAACGAAAAGTAGCAACAACTTTGTTATTTCAAATGGAACACTGTATTCCATTGCATTTTTAGATTTCCCCTGATGAGCTGATTTCATCAATGCATCACATTGGGGTCTAGCGGTCTCAAAATCGAGTTTTTCAACTGTAAGGATTTTTTTGTGTCGAAACTATTCATTATTGGTCAAAACGGCTTCTATATCCCTATCCCAACTTTTGATTTACTATCTACTGATATTCAATAAAGCAGTTCAGCTAGCATTGAGAGAGAAAAAAATGTCTTCCCCATCTGTCCTTCTCTTCAGTGTTCCAACGTAAAATAATGAATCCAATTCCAGCGTACTGAATGAAATACTTCCCCTTTTTTGTACACAAAGATGCAGATAATGGACTGTTGCGATTCAGTCACGCAATTCTTCGATAGTTTGAACTTGTGGCACAGAATAACCTCATTTTTCAAGTGCATGTCCCCCTCCCCCCGACGTTCAACGACAAATACTCTTGAACGATTTTATTTTTTATCTCGTTTTCTGTCGGACTTCAATTGCATTTCTTGTATAATTGAATTCAAATTTGACGGATAATTTTGATGTCAGTATCAGAAGTGAGGAATGGAACTCAATCATTTGGAACCATTAAAAATCGAAAATCGCAAAATTTCGATCACTGCTCAACCATCTACACCTCAAGAATTCGTTTTCTTCTTTGTCTCTTCGAGTTAATCCGTCACATTGACTGATGTAGATTTTGTGCCCAATTTCCGAAATGAGGGATTAACTAGCATGCCCGCAAGTAATTCTAATCCTTTGTCCATAAGTCACTCTGAGTTAGGCAAATCCATGTTTAATTTATTGTACGAGTATTTTTCAATGCTACTGTTTTAGCAAATCAAGTCGTGTTTTTTAAGAAACTGTTCTAATGAGTGCAAAAGTTTCCTGTTGATGACAGAATGGACTATTGAAACGATCGATGCATATAAAATACTGAAATTTCTGTTATTGAATACTCAAACCCTTCAAGAAAGACATAAATTACAAAGTGTGGGTGTTATTGAGATTTAATTGTTCCAGGAGTATCTCTCGGATTCAAGGTCGTGATCGAGAGGATGCTCAAACCCGAATATACCAGTAGACCTTCAGCGGAAAAAATTCTAAAGTACAGCTCTTTGAAAGCCATTGAGAAGAGGGACAAGAAGTCTACACGCGTAGACTATGCTGTAAGTACTCTTCTATTTCACGCACAAATGTAAATATACCCAGAATACGTATTTCAGCAATTTAATTGCCATTCTCAGCGGAACTGAGAAAGAAATTAAGATTGACTGACTCTATAGTATCATTCGAGATATTTTCCAGATTATTTAACCAGAGTCTCCAAAATGTCATCATTCTGCTGATAATCCGCCTACTCACCATAGGTCGCGTGCACGATGACCGACCCTGGAGGCAAAATATTGAAACACAACCTCACTTTTTTATTTGTTTACAGAGGAATCAAAGGATTGAAATAGTTTTTCACAATATTTTGGCATACGAATCGTGTTTTATGCGCTATTCATTAATTTCAGCATGCCTTTGCATTGTGCTGTTATACAATGCACAAAAAATGCAGCAAGAGACTAATGAATATGATTTTTCAGGTAAATAGTAATCTCACATAGTTATCATTATGAAATGTTGTCATTCCTTATTGAAATTCCTTCTGCCTTCTGCCACTTCTGCAATACAAACTAATACTGCTAATAGATTGAAAATATCTACAACACACACGATCGTCAGCATGTCAGACCAGTCCTCTTGATTGATTGCATGAATCCAATCTTTTGCATTATTTTAAAAATTTCAGGTGCATTTTTATTAGCTCCTATTGCAGAAGGAATTTCGATGAGAAATCAGAGAAATTACCAAATTTCAAGAATGAAAACTATATGTGACTGACTATAGTAGGTACTTACCTTTGAATCTTAATGTACCAACCGGATTCCTTCGTCTTCCGCTGCAGTTTTTGTGCATTTTACAACAGCACAATGTGATGGCATGAGCGAATCGATGAATAGCGGAAAAATACGATTCGTATGCCAAAATAATTGTGGAAAACTATTTGGATCACTTGTAAACAAATAAGAAAAGTGAGGTTGTGTTTCAATGTTGTCCCTCCAGCGTCGGTCATCTGACAGTTCTTGCACGCAACCCATTGCAGATGAGGTTATATAAAACATTTTTGTTTCATACATGAGTTTTTGATGTAATTCATTGTTCGTTACTATCTCAAGAAGACGAGCATCGGCTATTTTTTGAATGATCATATTGATGCAGTTGAAAGTAGAAAGAAACAGAAGAACCTACTTGACCTATAAATTGAATTGTTGAGGAACATTTTTTTCCAGGCCGACTTCAGTGACAATGATTTTGATATTCCCATAGAGGAAGGTGATCTCCCGATAATGGTGAACAACAACAATATCATCGAGACGCCACATTGTGTTCGATCAATAAGCCATATCTCAAATTATGACATTCCATACAGGTAAGGTAGCACTTTATTTAATATCCCTATTTTTGTAACAATATTTTTCACATTTCACGAAATCATATTAAAAAGTGTAAACAATCGATGACAATTTTCGAGATCCTCCTGAGTCCTGATATTGATGGAAGTAAGATATGGTGCGCGTATTCGGCCATTATTACGTATTGAAAATTTCAGAAAAATCACTCGACCGCCTACTATGATTTGTCTACGTCACAACGAGTGAGACGTTGATTCTACATTTTCCCGCTAGATTGTGATGCTGCTATTGCTGCTGTGACGAGTGCAAATAAAATGGCAAATGGCATTTTAGATACGCGGAACATATGTAACAGTGGGATTATTTAACTCTGAATTCGAAAAATCTGCGACAATTTCAAAACTGACAGATGTCATAATTGTGCAATGTCGCCATCTATCAGAAGATCAACGGAACCATTGCTCTCGCTGTTCTCGAGAGGTCGAGTAAAATTTGTGAAACAAAAGCGCATCAGTAATTACACCATATGACCAAACGGTTTTACAAAATAAGTACTAAATTTCTGGCAACAAAACGCTCCACCGAACGTGTTGGAGGTACGAGCGCATGCGTTGTACGCGAATTCGATGCTTAAGTCATATTGTATTGTGGATTTGAATGCTTAGTTATAAATGCGACAACAATGGCGGCGTTTCCTCGTGCAACAATTGACGGTAAGTGCCAATTTTATGCAACTTAATGCATATCATTTGTTTCAATCTACTGAGGAAATTATTAAAGAATAGGTCTAGCTACAATATTTTTTGTTGAAAAAATTAGATAACAAACTTACTTCATAGGTTATTTATACAACATTTTTGTCTAGATGGTATTTGCCTGTTAGCAATTTTTGGAAAAAAAAAATGTCTACCCTTCGGAATACAATTATGAAATTGACGACTGCTCCGGACCGCGTTGAATCTATTCGTCATTTAATTGATTAATTGAAACAGTCAGAGGACAAATCTGCAGACATATTTCAAAATTTCCTACGCCAATTCTTCATTTGAGGAAGCTCTCATTTAATTTGCTGGTGAAAATAGGTTGCACTTGATGATAACCAGAATCAATATTCCCCTGTATGTTCCGAGAACTTCTACGTCTCCAAGAAAACAGAAGATTCTACATATTTCAATTGTGGCGAATTACCTCAAATGAATATGCTGTTAGATGTGAAAATCCAGTAAGCAAATCAAAAACAAAATTCTATTGTGAACAATGTAACCTAATTTTGTGTCTAATGGTCAGTGATAATTGCTTCAGTTTTAATGTACGTAATAATTAGTAGGAAAATCATCCTGATGTCCAATTTTTTTGTATTTTTGAGTTTGAAAAATTCGAAAAAAAAAACGTTTTTGTACCAAACAAACGAACTTTCAAATATTGACTTCATATTACTTCAAATGTAGTCTCGAGACTCAGGAGGACAATAACATCAAACTCCATGATACATTATACAGTACTTTCTGTGAACTACTGAATATATTCATTTTTAGCCAAACTTCACATCTGAAGAAACTCCTGAAACAGATCGATTCTAAATCTCAATTTTCCACATTTTTGATTGAAAATCGAATGTACACGATTGTGTTTATGATGTCCATGACAATTTTTTGAAACAAATGGAACACCCAATACATTATTACATTTTCAGAATCATATCTGAATTAGTCGATAAATTATTTAAAAAAATGAAGGTATTATGTTTGGAAAGAACGATCGATCGAATATTATTTCCATTTGGGCATTTTTTCAAATTCACTTTATACAAATATAAATGATTTGTGAAGTAGAGATGAAGTCATTGGTATTTTTTTTAATGACAACCTAATTTTTCGAGAGCTTTGAATTCAACGGGCACAATGTAAATAAATAATTGAATATTTGAGAAAAAATTGTCGCGTACGCCATAACTCAAACGTGGATCACTCTGTATTTTTAATTGTCCTTCCTAAATGTGGCAAATTGTTGAATAACTTTTTTTTAAGAAAATTCCTTCGGCTGAAAATAAATTTATTCAGTACATTGTGGGATCACTGTATGAGGAATGAGATCACTCCAATATCAAGGAAAGTTCACAGCATTCCGTTTCTTCGTCTTATCAAATCGTCACCATGTACAAGAAATATTCAAACTTCTCGCCCTTGACTCATACAGTGGATGAAAATGGTAGCTTTGTGGAAAAATATTCTATCTAACGTCATTTCCGCCTCTTTGAGAAGGTTTGGGTACGAAAAATTTTACTTTACACACAACTATCCAAATCCCCTCTGCCAAATTCCCATTTGCAGTTTTACATACATATGTTTGACCGAAACGAATTCATGCACTTCGTCGACCCCATCATTCCAACCTCGCCCTCGCGATGACCTTATCATCATTCTCTACGACCGACTGAACGACAAAAACCCCTTTCCAGGTCCATCAGGCCGCACCTCGACAACGACGACCTTCCCCCCCACCACCCGCACCCGGCCGCCGGCCTCCTCAACCGCAAGATCCTCTTCCCCGCCGCCAAACACCTCCTCCTCCGCCGCCGCCGGCCCAAGGCGTCGCAGTTCGATTCGGCGTACGAGTCGGCCGACAAGTCGGAGAGGAGCGCGATGAGCCTCGACGAGGAGGAGGAGGAGGGGGAGGAGAATCGGGAGGAGGAGGAGGCGGAGGAAGACGAGGAGGAGGAAGGGGAGCACAGCGTGCTGGCTGTGCACCTGGGCGACTCCTACCGCTCGTCGGACTCCTCGTTCTCGGACGATATGGAGACAGAGACGGACGGAGGAGGCAGCGGCGCGGACGCGTCCGGCTGTTTCGTCATCGACGACGACGACATCATCACGTCGACGCCTTTGTCCAGGTGAGAGAGCAAGATGGTTTTGGGAGAAAGAGAGAGAGAGAGAGAGATAAGAGAATGTTGGGGAAGAGAGAGTTGAGAAGGGACAGATAGAGAGAGAGTGTATTAAGAAGAGAGAGAGCGAGTTGAGAAAGAGAAATGGTTAGTGGTGCACTGAGAAGTAAGAGGATAGAGGGTGAGTGGGTCAGTGGGAGAGAGAGGGTAACTAGGAAAAAGAACGTTGGTAGGATAGGAAAGAGAAAAGGTAGGAGGCTGAGTGGGTTATAAGTGGTACTCTGAGAAAGGAGATGGTTATAAGGGAGAGGTTTTAGAAGGTGAGTGGGTTAGTGGGGGAGGAAAGAGAAAGGATAAGAGGCTGTTAGTGGTACACTGAAAAACGGGGCAGAGGGTGAATGAGAGAGAGGGTAATGGGAGAGGACAGACAAAGGGAAAGATGTTGAGTGGGTTAGTGGTGCACTGAGAAGGAAGAGGATTGAGGGTGAGTGGGTTAGTGGTGCACTGAGAAGGGAGAGGATAGAGGGTGAATGGGTTAGTAGTGCACTGTGAAGGGAGATGGTTATAAGGGAGAGGTTATAGAAGGTGAGTGGGTTAGTGGGAGAGGAAAGAGAAAGGATAAAAGGTTGTTAGTGGTACACTGAAAAAAGGGAGAGGGTTAGGTTAGGTTAGGTTAGTGAGTTAGTTAGGAAAGGTGAGGCCAAAATGTACATTTATCCAAGCTCATTAAAATTCGTCTTGCTATTTTCAATTTTCTGGCCGAAATGGGCGTCGCCCAAAGAAAGTAGTGAAGTATAGAGGAAGAAAGATGAGAGATAAAGACAGAAGGATAGGCAAAGGAAGAGTGAAGGATAGGAAAATGAATACAAGATATAAGTGATAGATAGAGTAAGAGAGATGATAGATAAAGAGAGAAGGATAACAAAATACCTGTTCACCTGCATGGAACAACATAAACTATCTAAATCGCCAGAACAGCATGGTAATCAAAGTGTCAGACTTAAGTTTACGTGGAAAATTGTACCTTGACTACCAATTGAAAAAACAACTTGTCATGATGATCATTTTGACGAGTTTTCAGAAACTTTTAAGCACTTTTTAGCTTTTAGTCACGGAGCCTGGGATATATGGATAAACAGGTTTCATTCTCGAAAACAAATAGAGATAGGAAAACAATTCCAGCAATAATAAGAGTGCATTCTTGATTACTGAACATGAAAGAAAATCAAACTATTCATAAATATCAATGAAATATTTTTGTACGTTTATATTTATAGGAATATTATTTAGTCATTCTGATGAGTTCAATAACTCAGATAAAAAACTGAATCGTTGTATTGACTCTTCTGAGAGAAATGAAAACTCCAATGTTTTTTCGCTTCCAGGTGCAAGCTGAGGAAGGATATGCCGAAGACGAAATTGAGCTTCGAGTGAAATCGGAGCGCCGTTTTTTTTTAGTCTTTCCGTTTCCTGATCTCCGATCAATGTGACACTGGAGTTTTGTTGTCGCTTGGTTTCTAACTACGATTTGGAAGACTGTGTTTTTTATATCTTTGTTTTGTTTTTTATAATTTATTTTCTGGATGGTCTAGTTTTGTTGTATGATGTAATCAATAGCAGAAAATTTATTGACGTTTGATGAGAAGAAATTGTTGTTCATTTTGTTGCTTAGCAGTAGGAGTTTTTTTTTATTTTTTTTTATTGATACACTGGGGATGTTTCGCGTGGTTACCGCGGTTGATTATTTGTTTTTGAAATATGTCGAGTCCATTATTTGAATTAATAATATGACTTTTTTTTGTTTTCAACTGTCATTGTTCATTTTAATTTCTTCCTAGAATATCTCGATGAAAATCTCGAATAGGTACCAAAGTTGCAAGATTTAATTTTCATTTTCGTTGATAACCGAATTGCCTGTGTAAGTCACGTGATAAGGGATTTCGTTATACAGGGTGATTCACAAGTGAAGGGAGATATTTCAATGGTGGATAGAGGCCACCGAGGTGGTTCAAACTATACATACATAGATATACCGTGTGGAAACCTATGATGGAATGAAATAGGCATCTTCATAATGAAAATATATTTGAAAAAATCCTCGGTTAGGTCGATTTTATTTTTGAATATAATTTTTTTCACATAAAATTTGTCAACCAGCTGTCAACCTCCTACCCAACAGTTCAACTTCTTCAAAATTTCCAAATTGTACAAGGGGTTAAGTTACACCTTGTTAACGAGGTATTTCAAATCTCTATACAACTGGCTTTTTTTTGGATTTGGATGAGCCATATCCGCAGGTAGAAGATTAAAATTTTCTTGTATTTTTTTTTGAAATTATTGGTGATGGTAGGTGTTATTTCATTGTATTACAGTTACCTACATTCATATTGAATTTTTCATACTGAAAGTCTGTCTACGCCTATGAACAATGTCATTGTAGTAGATACTGTTTCATTGTAATTGGTCACTTTCAAAGGGACAGTCCTAATCTCCAACTGGATAGAAGAAAACTGATGTCGGTGCCTGATGGTCGATTCTCATACAAAATTCAATGGTGAAAACCGCCTATTGATATCTGTCTTCGTTTCGGAGTTACAAGGTGTTCTTCAAAAATGGGCATTTTTGAAAAGTGGCTACAATTTTTTTTTGGCAAAAATTTCATGTTATTATGAAAATAACTGCAAAGCATTAAGTTTGTGACAACAATCATTCCTGAGGCACTGAAATCGGCCTTCCTATATCTTGTTCAAGAATATAACTTGTTCTTTTTGAAGGAAAAGCTATATTTCGAAACGAGGTATGGTGACTGATTTCAGTTCCTGAGGATAAATTTTCATGACAAACACAAGGCTTTGGAAATGTTTTTATGGAAACGAGGAATATTCAAAAAAATAAGTTTCAGCCACATTTTAAAAATTCATGTTTTCCAAAAACACCTAGTGTAACTCTGAAACGAAGGTAGATATCAATATGCAGTTTTCACCATTGAGTTTGTCATGTGAATTAATCAACAGGCACCAACATAAGCTTTGTTATACCTAGTACGGGAATAGGACTTTCCCTTTGAAAGTGTCCAATTTGGCCCACCCTGTACATAGGCATAGACGGACATTGAGTATAAAAAACTGATTTTAAATGTAGCTAAATTAACTCAAAAAGTAAAAAGATGAAACCGTACCTACTATTGCCAATGATTTGGACAAAAATTCCAATAAATGTTTATGAAACTTTCGCTAAAAATAACCTGTCCGAGGATTTTCTCAAATGTATTTTTGTTATGGAAATGGAGATTTTATTCTATCCTAGATTTCCACACTGTATATAATATATGTTAGATGGACCTCGCAGTCTTTATCAAATACTGGGCGATTCATCACAGGTGCATTGTCTTGAAAAATCTAAGACACACCCAATTTTTCATTTGTTATTACCCTGAACAACAAAAACGAAATCCGTAAATCATTTATCTTGATCTTACAAGGTATTTTGACCCCTTAATCTTTTTCAAAAGAATTATGTCAAAATTGAATAGGGGTGAGATGCAGGACATATCAGCCTCAGAATAATTTCAGCATTATAATATGTTCTACCTGTGTGTATTCAACCAAGCTACATAATTGTCTGAATACGCATTCAATGCTGAATTTCCTTACGAGATTTTGTAATTGAGATTTTGTTTTTTTGTACCTCAAATAATGGAAGTAGCAGGTATATTTCATTAGCGAACTATCGACTCACGCTGTATATCTATCTCTAGTGTTGAATTTGGTGCAGTTGAGTAGCTTCTTGACCCCGTTAAGAAGTGACATAACTCAGAAAAGGACTTCCATTAGTTTTATTTTCTTTTATTATTCTGTCCAAGCAACAATTATTATCCTACTTGTTGTTAAGTAATGAAAAGTCTATTTGTAATAATCCATGATCAGTTGGTGAAATTTTGCACTCTTTGCATTCCTTCAAATTTTCAATTCCTCTTCAGGTCCTGAAGGTGTATAGTCAAAAACAGTGTTTTCTGAATATCACCCTGTATTCAAAAGTATGTTAATAATAACGATCATTCAGGACTTGAAAAGTAAATTGAAAATCAGTTGCTGCAATCAGAAGTTATCGAAAATTTACAATTTTACGTTTCTTGTGTTGTACAGTTTATTTGTCATTACTTACAATATGCATTATTTATCGAGAACTAAATTCTTGATTCTTGCTTGGCTACAAAGTTGTTGTTAATTGTCTTCTTAATATGAATGAAAATTCCTATGAACGGAGAGGCATGTGTCCTAATTGCTTCTGAAGTCTAGCATTTTTAGAGAAAAGTGATCAAAATAGCAAGCATCATTTTAACCAACTGATTATCGATGAAGTTTGTTCAGTTGCTTAGTTTATTAATATTTTGCCTTTGTTTTTGCAATATAAGGTGCCAAGGCGTCCCGTTTTTTATTATGTTTGTGATTTGAACACAACATCGAAATGTTACAAAGTAACGTTTCAATGTTAAGTGTTCTCACCAGGGCATAGCCGTTTCGAATATTAACCGTTAATCTGTGAAGCGTTGTCATAGCCACCCGAGACCATTTGTTGGTCTCGTTCATCTCGAAATTACAGTATTCCGAATTCCCAGCAGCTTTTTTCTGTTTGACCTGATTCAACAGTATTCACTATCGACTTGAGAATATCCAATACTTTTGTAATACTTGGTGGTTAATGTGATTTTAGCGTAGTCAAATTAGTGTTAGTTGTCTATTTATCAGAGTATATTTTATAATACTTGGAATTAATAAAGCATTCTTCAGTATTTAAATTAGTCATATCTGTTTCCTTCCATACTTCCTAATAACAAATAAAGTAATATCTAATATGCAATATGGATTCAAAGAAAACTGCAGTACGGAAAACGCACTTTTTGAAGTGTCGAATTTTATTATACAAAGTTTTAGCTAAGGTCTTAAACCACTTGGTATTTTTCTGAATTTGAAAAAAGCGTTTGACACTGTGGAAAACCATACGCTACCTACATGAAAAACTTGGAGTTAAAGGAATTAGAGGCGTCACACTTGACCTGCTTAAATCATTCTTACAGGGAAGAGTTCAAAAAGTAAGGATAGGTTCTACCTACAGTGAACCAAGAGTAGTGGAGTATGGTGTCCCACAAGGTACTGTTCTCGGGCCCATTTTATTTTTAATTTACATTAATAGTCTTATTTCCATTGATGGCGATGTGAAATTGGTCTGCTATGCGGATGATACAGTGGTTCTCTTAAATGATGGAAAGGAGCTTTCCATAAGGCAGAGCGTGATCTTGAAAAAATCAAAATTTGGCTGGACCTAGATTTATCAACACTAAATGCGAACAAGTCAAACTTCATCGGCTTCTCAAAGTCCAAAAGTGGACTACCACAAACTAATTTAAAAATTCACAACTCTGATGACTGTCAAACACCATCAAACTGCAGATGTGCTACTGTTATTGAATCTAGGGATTGTGTGAAGTATTTGGGTGTACATTTTGATCAACATATGAAATGGAGTAAACATTGTGAATATGTATCAAAGAAACTTCGGAAACTGTTTTTTTAATTTTAGTCGAAACTACTAAATGTTAGACAAATGTATATTAAGAGCACACTGCGTTTTGCTTTAAAATTCAGAATCTTATTTAATAACTTTGTAGTTAACGATACACGTGCAATAACTAATGAAAATGTTATTCCCTCAAATGCCAAATTTTCAGCAACACAAAAACACATCTCATATACAGCACCCAAAATCATGAATTTACTACCACAAAATTTGAAAAATAGACAATTCAAAATAAGTATAGCCAAGGATTTATCAGAATGGATCTGCCAGAGATACACATATTTCTTTGCCAGCATCTTATTCAACTACTAGTATAGTTGTATACTATAATTATCATACCCAGATGAGATTGTAGACTTGTGATGTTGTAGAACATTTCAAATCCGTCGGAATTTTTCAAAAATTGGAAAATTGCTAAGAATAATAAAATAATAATATAAATTGTACATGGTAGGTACCTAAAACATAAAATATTGGAATGTGCTCACACAAATCCTTCAAGGATTTATCGGGCACTGTTTTTATCCAGCATCATTGTTCTCAATCAACTATGTTTCTTATGGTTTATATTGTTAAGCAGGAGGATTTTCAGAACTTAACAAATGTATCTATTTATCTATACAGTGTCTCCATTTAGTGCGTAATTCTTCGATATCTCGAAAGCCATTACCTATAGAGAAAAACTTTGGAAAAAAACTTTTTCAGTTACTAAAAATGCTCATTTCAGAATTATTTTAAACATTACTGGGTGTTTTATAAGAGCAGGGCAACTCGAAGAAGAGTTTTTTTAAATGGAACACCCAGTATTGTTCATTCGGAATTAATTCTGTCGAGGTTCACCTTCACATCGCTGTGAAGAAAATTTGAATCGGTTGCGGCGTTGCCAAGTTATAATTG